GGGGTGGAGGTGGGGAGAGTGGTGAAGAAAGTTGCCACTCGCAGCCTTTTAAAAACCACTGCTGCTTGAGGGACCCGTTTTAGGCAGCCGGGGGAGCCCCTGGTAAGGAGTTGGGGTGGCGAGGGGGGACAGGCAGGCGTTTGGGGACCAGCCGTCAGGGCTGCGCTGCCCGCACAAGACTCCTTCAAAGGTGACATGGGGGGTGGTGGTGTCCCAAGCACGGAGGAGGATCCCACTTTTCCTCCACTCCCCGCCTGCGCTGGTGGGTGAATCCCCCATCCCAGTTTGGGGTTTCCTGGTGGGCTCGGTTGCCCCTTCGCTTTGTATTCCCATTTCTCTCCCCGTCGTCCTCGGCCCCAGCAGGACTGGGAGCAGCTTTGAAGTTGGTCCCAAGCTCTCCCCCATGGGCAGGGGAGGAGCTGAGCCCCTTTCTCTGCCTTTTTCCGGGAGCCTCGGAGGAGGACGAGGACGAGCCTTTTTCATGAATGGATGTGGCAGGAGCTGTCTGTCCTGCTCAGTGACCCCGCCACAACCGCCGAACCCACTAACAAAGTTTCCAGGAGGCCTTTCTAATTAAACCATTTGTCAGTGTCAGATAGCGATGGTTGAGCTGCGGTTTAATACCGCCTGGGAAGGAGGCAGATCAGTGGGGTTTTTCCTTCTCTGCCTTCCTTCCCAAGCTGTTGAGCCGGGAAGCCGGAGCAAAGGACTTGGGAGCAGGCGTGAGGGGTCCCATCCCTTCTCAGGCCTGCTGCGGTTTGGGTGAACAGCAAACCTGTGGCGTTGCTCTGTCGCAAAACGTGCTTGTAGTGATAAAATACTTGAGGATCGCTCTTTGGCAAAGCCTGTGGCCTTTTTCCCTGCTTGAAGGTGAATTATTGTATCGGGTTTTAGTGCCTGGGCCAGGTATGTGGTGGTTGTTCTTGCTTTATCTTTTCAGACACAGATACTTTTGTGGTTTTCTGTCAAATTGGCATAATACCTCTTGCCTAAGCTGCCCCAGACCCATATTTCTGACAAGATAAATGAGGCTGTACTGTCTCTGGCCATTGATTTTTATTTTCAGATGTTTGTTTCCTTTGCAGTTGAGATTTGGCCCCTGTTTATCACTATCAATATCAAACTTTGTAAGAAACACTCTTTGGTTTTCTGGGACCTGTTTACTCAGTAGCAGTCTGCCCAGGGAAGATGTGGGGGCAGGGAGACGCTTTTCTTGGGGTGAAGTTTCAGGTATACCAGCTTTTTGCTGGCAGAGACTTGCTAAGTAGCATGCAAATGTTTTCAGGTAGAAGCATTTCCCATTCTGAAGAATTAAACATCTTTTTCTCTCTGCCTCTCCCCTTCCCTCTCTCCTTTCCCCCTTCCCAGGTGGCTTTAACAAGTTTCAGACTGAATATTCAGAGCACTGCGAGACGAACCTTGACAGCTCCTCGCCCAGCAACTCTCCCCCAGCATCAGTCCTTGGCCTGGGAGGGCTGCGGATTAGCTCTGACTGCTCGGATGGCGAATCCGACAGGGAACCCAGCAGTGCCACGGAGTCGGATGGAAGCCCCATCCCTAACAATCAGCCTGCCTTTCCGGTCCAGATCCTACCTTACCTGTACCTGGGCTGTGCCAAAGATTCCACCAACTTGGACGTCCTGGGCAAATACGGCATTAAATACATCCTGAATGTGACTCCCAACCTGCCAAACATGTTTGAGCATGACGGAGAGTTCAAGTACAAGCAGATCCCCATCTCAGATCACTGGAGCCAGAACCTCTCGCAGTTCTTTCCCGAGGCCATTGCTTTCATTGGTAGGTAGTTGGCAGAACATCTCTTTTCATACTCACCGCTTGGGAATGTGGCAAGCTGCTTCCCAGGGCTGTTGCTCATCTCTGCCCTCACCTCTCTGGGGCACAGCGTTGGCGCTGGCTTAGCAGCTGAGTGTCACGCTGCTGAGGTGACACTTGTGGTGCCTGTCACCCTGGCTGGGATCAGGGAGGCCTCCTCTTCCAAAATGCAGCCCTCTTGCAGCAGCTCAGCTGGGTTACCTGCAAGTGGTGGTACCGGCCCCGCCGGCCCCGGCCCTGCTGTCTCTTGTCCTTGTATGGGGATTTGCACTTGTGTGGAACGGCTGAACCGAGGCGGTGGGGAGCTCCTTTGCTCAGCGGAATGAGTGCTGATGGGAGTTGCATTAACTTGACGGGTGCCAGCAATCCCTTAGCCCCAAGTGTGGTTAAAATCTGAGGGGGGAGATGGTGTTTTCTTTTCTCGAGGGGATTTGCTAGTCTAGTTGCGATCCCGCTGTAAGTTACCCTAGCGTAACTAACTCCTTGTATGGATACTTCTCCTAAGGTAAGTGTCAACACAATGAGTTAGTGATTATAATTACACTGCAGAGCTCAGCTGGAAAAACTGCTGTGCAGACAGCCCCTGAGACAGCTTTGGCTGGTTGTGGGGAGGGGTGCAGGGGGGGCAGAGCTCTCCTCCCAGGCTAGTGTTGACTTTGAAAATTACTTTTTATTCTGTGAGAAGTGTCTGTCGAGCTGAACAGGGATGTACACTTCCAGCATGACCTGTGCTGTCTGCTGGTGATGGTCATTAGCCTAATCAGTTCGGATTTATGGGGGGTGAATGGCACAGGTAGTCATTACTGCCGTTATCTATTAAAAGTCCTGTGGCTTCATATCTGGTGAGAAACATTGCCATACGTAAAGGCGAGGGGGACCTTCAGACTGAAATCTGTGCAGCCTATTTCGATGCTGCCTTGTTGCCCCCCGTTCTGGACCCTGCTGCTTGCACTTGCTCACTGTGCCACAGGGCCTGCAACGGGGCAGGCAGAGCAGTGGTGGCTGCTCGTCTGCTTTTTGGCCATTGGAAACCCTGGTTGCCACGCACTCTCCTTGCCCCCAGCTTCCGTCCTCTAGTCTGTGGTCAGAAGCAGCTGCTTCAGTGTGGCAGCAGGGACCTGTCTGATGTCCCATCTGCACTTTCTGCACAGAGCATGGTGTTAAACGTCAGGGGAGAGGTACAGGGTCCTTGCTGGCGTGTGGCATTTGGGATCCGTCTGCTCAGATGATGTCTGGTCTAGGTGACACCACCGTGCTTGTGCTTCCCAGTTAATGACAGGAAATGGAGGATTACCTCACTCTAAAACCAAACACCGAGAAATGCGGCACAGGTCAGATGAAAGGCAAAAATGTCTCAAAACTGTTGAATGGGGAGAGCAGGGTATGCTGGGGGGTGATTGCCCACTGCACTGCAATTTCTCACCTGGTTTTAGAAGCTGGGGCAGAAAACCTGTTGGGTCTGGACTGTGTTTTGCCTGCACTTTCTTTGCCCTTCTCTGCACTCACGGTGCCAGAGTGTCTCTTGCCTCCAGCTTTGCCCGAGGATCCTCTTTCTCCTGCCACCTTCTTCCTCCCCGCCAAGCTCTCAGTCAAATGACTGACTTCAAATAGGGCTGCCCAGAAGTAAGCAGCACTGGGTACTTGTGTGCATTCAGCGCTCTCAGCGACGTGTCTCTCTTTCAGCACTAAGATGTCAATTCATAAAGGGATCACGCTGTTCCGGCTGTGCGAGAGACAATGAGTGTGTGTGTGCTTTTCAGTCGGTGGCAAGGGAGGGGAAATTTCGTCGCTGTTCTCTCGCCATTTTTTGGTCCAGCCTGCATTCCTACTCCCCGCTACCATTCATCCTGAGAGCCTCCTCCAACACAAGCGTTTGTTTGTAGTGAAGTGCGTTTCTGTCGATCCTAAAGAACAATTTCACAATAAGGGAAGTTCCTGCACTTCAGCTTAAATTGGCTTTGACTGCATTCAGATAACTTTCTAGTGGAAGGAGGACAAGGACAGCAGAAGAGAATAGCTTGCATGGCGTTGGGCTGTGGCCTCGCCTCAAGTGCGCAGCCTTCCCTGGTTAGTTGGTGTTGAGGCGGGTGTGCTATGCCCGACCACCAGCATCTCCCTGGAGATGTGGGGTTACTCCATTTCTCTGTTTGAACAGAGGGTACCGATGCTCCCTAGGCAAGGGATGTATGGCCAGGCTTGATTAATACTTCTCAAGCACGTGAGACGCTTAGCCTTGCTGTGCGCAAGGGGGATGTGCAGCTTCACCGCGCAGTGGGAATATCTCAGGAGCCCTTTGGGGTCAGATGTGGTGTCGGAGGGACACGAGACGGTGTCAGTAGGAGCAGGGGATCCAGTTCTGGCAGTCGTCCTGGTCCTGGGAGCTTGCAGCTGCCACCTGGCCCTGCTCCAAAGCCGTGCGTTTTTGGTGCAGAATAATAGACTCCCCCTTCCCCTTGTCTTGTTTCAGATGAGGCCCGTTCCAAGAAGTGTGGGATCCTTGTTCACTGCCTCGCTGGCATCAGCCGCTCTGTAACAGTCACCGTTGCCTACTTGATGCAAAAACTCAACTTGTCCCTGAACGATGCCTATGACTTTGTGAAAAGGAAAAAATCCAACATTTCCCCAAACTTTAACTTCATGGGCCAGCTCCTGGACTTTGAGAGGACTCTGGGACTCAACAGCCCTTGTGACAACCACTCGCCCAGCGAACAGCTCTATTTCACCACCCCCACCAACCACAACCTGTTTCAGCTGAACACTCTGGAGTCCACATGAAGGGGATGCCGCCAGGTCGGGAACTCGAGCATCGAATCGCTTCTCTTGAGCATTTCAACTCTTACAAAAGTATCTGTCTTGCCAGGCAGCTCTGAAACGACTAGCTTCTCTGGGCAGAGGTGCCTGATCGCTGCTTTAAGAAGGCTAATGCCGTTCGTTAGTATGCTGATCAAAGTGGTTTGAAGAGGTAGTCTTTTTACAGGGGGTTATTTAATACGGGCGATGTTACAGCGTTTTGAACGCAGCTGTTACCGGCAATAACCGCTTTCCTGGGTGCATTGGGACTGTCAGAGCACGCACACGTGTGAAGAGCTACCGGGGGTTAGCTTGCTGTGGAAAGTGAGGAGATTTATGCACTTGGAAACCTTGAACAAAAGGTGTTGGGCCAAGACTGTTTTAAAACCCAAGTTTACTTTTTTTTTTTTGATTTAAAAAAAAAAGGTAGATCTTACTTGAGCTTTGGGTTCAAACTCTTTTTAAATATGTAAGTTCCTGACTGTTTGTACAGACGAGGTTGCAAAACCAGTATTTTATTCTGTTTCTTGTTTGATCATTTATTATTTTTTTTTAATCAAATGTTTATATTGACCAAATGCATTTTGCACACTTTGTGAAGCCTTGATATGTCCTGGCATATTACTGGGTACTCCAGAGAGAGATTACATGCTGCTGCTGTTGTTGTTAGCATCTGGTAGGAAGCTTTGTTATGTGTGAAGGCCAGTTGGGCTTAAATGCAACCCCTTCACCACTCCTGCACTCACAATCACAAACTCTGCACTGATTCAGCCAAGGTGACTAAGCCGCAAGCTTTTTTTTTTTTTCTCTAATGCCACCCCTGCCAAAAACACTGTTTGCTGTTGCCAGAGGTAAAACTCTTGTAGCCTCCAGAGTTGGTAGAAGCATGTGTGAGCCCAGCTTCGTTCTCTGCTGTCTGTTGACTGGCTTAATGTCATCCAGCTGGCCCGAAACCATTCCAGCATCCCGAGTACTGAAGGTAGCTGTGATGTTGGCGTTTCTCGTGCACACTCAATTCTTTCCCACGTGTGCGGGGTGGAGGGGGGAAGCACAGCGAGTGCCTGGAGCAGAGTGAGGATTGTGTAGCGGGACGGGACTGAATCGTCACGCACAGAGCGTGTGAGGGGAGTGAAGAGATGTGGAAATGATGACAAGAGCGTTGTAACAGAGAATTTTTTTATATATATATATATGAATATATATATTAACTGGCAAATTCTGAGATGATTGGAGCTTTCAACAGAGGTTCTGATTTTTTTTTTTTTTCTTCCTCTTTCGAATAGAGGGCAGAATGGTTTTGGAGATTTCTTTATTGGCTGCAATGTAGTCCCTCCTTTCTCCCCCCTCCCTGTCCGCTTTAACTCTCATGTAATGGAAAAAAAAAAAAAAGCCACGGATTTTTTTCTAAATATCCAGTTTTTTGTACTTTTTTCAAGAAAAAGAAAAAATAATAAAAAAAATCTCCATCTGGAGGAATGTTTGACGCTGTCATATCCTGAAACCATTCTTTTTGTTAAAGATGTTACGAGAATGTTGGAATGAGCTTTTCCTTCTTGTTTTCTGGTTGTCTTTTGTTTGTTTGTTCGTTCGTTTGGGTTTTGTTTGCAACAATGTTGGGATCGTGGGTCATTGGAAGGGAGAATGGGCGTAAGTACGGTTGCGAGTGAGAAAATTGAGAATATCCTAATTGCATCTTACCTCATGGAGGAATTAATTTTTTCAGGGATTTTTTGACAGTGCATCTGTATTGCATTACAGCTAAGCTGGTTTGTAAAGGCTTCCTGTGCTGTTAGTGGTCTTTCTTCTTTAAAGGAAAAAAAGAAAAGATGCATCTTCTGATTAGTACAAATGAGAGCTTGTTAGTGAGGAATGGTTCTGCTTTATGAGTTATGAAGGAAAATTAGTGACCCTATATATACTGATCCAATATTGGGACTTTGTTTATATTGCAAATAAATATTATTTTTTCTTTAAAAATGATGTTTGTGTCAGATGCTTGTCTAGCCTCTGCCCATGTAAGGGCATGCTGCTCTTATCCGTTTTTTTATGGTTGATTAGTATTCTTCTGTGACCATGAAGAGCATTTGCTGGGCAGTGTTCAAGTGTGGTGTTTGGTTGCATGCACAGCTTAATTTTTAAGACCTGTGGTAAAACGGAGAGGGGGATGTGGGAGGGTGAGGAGAGGGATATGGGGTATTGGATAAACCGGAGAACAAAGAACAGCTTGAGAATGGGACTAGCTTTGACCCCAGCCATTCCTCTGTGCCAAAAATAAGTAGATAAACTAAAGACACTTTTGTTCACTGTTTAAGCGTGGCCTACAAAGGCATGGCAAGGCCTTGCCCACAACTGTTGTGATAGCAGGCTTTATTTCAGTAGGAAAGCAAGAAGTCATGGCTGTGCAGGCAGCCACCTGATGACTTCTTTTGGGGTCTCACGGAGAGTGGGAGCATCCTCCTGCATCCTCGGATGGGGGACCAGGCCCCTGCGTGGGGTGTCGCAGGTGGGATGTGCTTGTCCCCCCATGCTCCCTGGCCACAGATGCAAGCAGCTTGTGGGAAATCTGGAGGGATTAATGAGGCTGCTTTAGGCTGGAACTTCTAACCATCGGAGGTCAGCCCAGCCAAGGGAGCTGCGGTTCCCCATGTCCCTGCTTGTATCTGGGCAGGACTGAGCAGCAGTGGGCTTGCCCCCCCCCCCCCCCCGCCGTTTTAACATACGTGGCAAGAAATTAAATGACTATCTGTTCAGTTCCTCAGAGTGAATGTTGTTTGTGTTGTCTTGTTCTTCCAGTCCTAGGGCCTGAGCACCAAAGATAGCTAGTTTTATTCCAGAAGGAGCTCAGGCTGATGGGTGCAGAGTCTGTTGCAGAGCAGGGGAGGTGGTCAGAGGCTGAAGCTGGAGTCAAGGGAGCGTGTGTGTGTGAGAATTTGTTTGTTTACTCCTTGACTGCAGGATGGGAATCTATATATTGATTTAGAGGCCTCTTTGTGGTTCAACAAATGAAAATCTACCTGGTATGCAGGGAAAAGAAGACCTTTAGGTTTTCCACTGTAATTACATGGTAGAGCAGCTCTTGAGGAAGATATGAAGCTGTGCTGGAGGCTGGCTGTGCGCTGAAGGAGCGCAGAGCAGCTTGTCAGGTGTACGGCTATATTTGCTTCCGTCCAATTTCCTCTTACGATTTTCCGCTAAGGTGTGGAATTGGATATTAGCAGTTAGCATTAGCTCTGTAAGCACATTTGCATGGTAGCTGAGTTGTGGCTGGCTGGAACAGCACAGCTGCTATTTGCCACAGGCTGGGTGGAAGAGCTGGTGTGCAGGCAGCTCCCGCGGGGTACCTGACCCTGGGAGATGCAGGTCCGCTGTGCTTGTCTGCTGCGCTCAAAAGCCCCGTCGCCAAAGGAAGGAGGTGGCTTGTCTGAAAACTATCCTGCCACCTGCAAGTGCTCTTTCCTCCAGGACCCAAAGGAGCCTTTTCCAAGCTTCCTGGCCTCGACAGCAGGGAGCAGCCAGCCTGTCTGGTCCTCAGCCATCAGCATTTTACAGATGTCTCACACTGTGCTTCTTGGCTCGGAGGGGTTTCCTTGGAGACCTGATGTCCTGTAATTTAGTGAGGAGACAAGAACTGACATCAGGAAAGCAGCAATGCTGGAGAAATAGTTACAGAGAGAAAAGAAAGCATGGAGTCTGTCTACACTCCTTTGCAGAGGCGGGCACGAGCTCTAGCTGAGCGTAGGAGCATGGGCTGAGTGAGAAAGCTGGTTATGTTCGGATCGGTGGAATTTGGCAAGGAGGTACCGCTTCCCACACGCAGCAGGGAGAAGCTCCTCAGTTAACCCATTGATTCCAGGCAAGCTGCTTGCATGATGCTCTGTGGTGCTGCTCTAAAAAAACAGGTAATCTCCTGCACAGGCAGAGAGATCTGCTGTCCCTGGGTTTCCACTTGTGATGCCACAAGACCTCAGGCAATAGCAGTGGGAATTTGTCTTCCCTTCCCCCCCCCATGGATGACTTTCTTACATTGATGATTTGAACAGTTAGAGGGACCACAGGTCCCAGGTGCTTTCTAAAAGTTTCTCCCTCTGTTTCAAGTCATGGTGAAAGCACAAAGCTCTGAACACAGGTAGAGCTAAACTTCTGCAGTTCCCCACCAGGAAGCCCAGGCAGCTGGTTTTGGATGGTTCCAGCATCCCTCTGCATGGCACATCCCTCTGCGCTGCTGGGCAGAGCCTGGCTGCTCGCCCCAGCCGGAGAGGGAAGGGTGAGGAGGGCAGGTACGTCCTGAGCACGAGGGTGGCTGGTTGGCATCTTGTGAAACAGGAGAGCAACGAGCAGATTCCCAGGGCAGTGCAGCGAGGATTACTTGTGGTCACAGACAACGCAGAGGCTGGGAGATGTGCCCCAAAGAGCCGCAGAGAGGGAAGTGTGAAGGGGTGGCCAAGGCAGCATCAGGAGCCCAATGAGCAGGACATGAGCTGGGGAAGGGGCTTTGGGGTTACTTGTAGCTTGCTTTCCTTCGCTTGTGTCTACCCTTACCCCTCTCCCAGGCCCTTATTTCTTGGTGTGGCACCAAGCACACGCTGAGCATGACGCAAGCCAGCCTCTGCAGCTCTGAACTTGCCTGCTGTTGCGTCACGCAGAGACGGACGTGGGAAAGCAGCCTCTTCCTGCCACCATCTGAATTTGGGTGCTCGCATTTCCAAGGTAACCAGGTTATTTGCGGGCTGTTATTTTCTTTTTTTATCCTTTATGTGAGCAAATCAGGCTATTTGCAGTGTTGCGACGGCATGTAAATAGTTCAGTTAATCAACACATCCCTGTATTTACAGCCAACTGGCACAGGCTGTGACAGTCATGCTCTGGGCTGCTCAGAAAGTGTGTGAAAGTGGGATTTCATGCCATTTGCTCCTGTGCCGCCTCAAGTCTGTCTCTCTTAATCATGCTTCAGGTCAGAGTGCTGGGCTGGTTAAATGTAATTGGGGATGAGAAGGCTGGTGAGGAAAAGTCCAGCAGGTAGGGAGGGCAGCTGGTGGGAGTCCCATCTGGCCTCCACGTCCTTGTCCTGCGAGTTCCTTTATTGAGCTGCAAAGTTCTGCTTTTACTGGCTTTGTCTTTTGACTTTCTTGCTGTGTTGCCCAGCAGCACCGGCCCGAAGGACGGGCTGCAGGGAGGCTGCCCCAAGGTCACTGCTGGATTCCCAACCCGGGCGTGAGATTTGGGTGGGAGACACCACCGCAAGAGCACGGTGTGAGGGAAATGGCTGTGCTGTGTGCTGGCAGTCATATTGCACTGAGGAGGCTTGCCATGCTGGGACAGGGGCAAGCGGGTGCTGAGGCCAGCCATGTCTGGTTGGGTGGTGGAGTGGGGTCTATCCTGCCACCCGTGGTTCAGCTAGTGACGTGGCAATGAAGCAGCAAGTGTGCCTGTTGCCTGGGGCCGTGCTTAAGTTTAAACAGCTCTTTGTGTGGCATCTGTGTGAGATCTGCCTTAAATTGGTGGGGAAACTGTGAGGGGGGGAGCAATACAAGGTTGGACCTCAGGGCAGCGCCCTCCCCAGGGCGGGCAGTGGCAGCCATTTTGTGTCCCTCCTCCACAGCCTGTCATGGCCGTTGCTGCCCTGAGGTGGGGGGGTACCAGCCCCCCCGCCCTGGGCCAGAGGGGCTTGTAGTGTGGAGGCAAAAATTATCCTGGTGAGCACCATCTCCTTTTCCTAGACTGGCTATGTCTCTGCTCTCACCTTTTTCCTCTCCAAAACACCTGAGGAGCTGCTGTGAGACCTGAGGGGACCTGAACTGGGGGTCTGGGAAGTCGTGAAGGACTTGTGGCTGTTGCAGTGGTACAGAAACATGGCTGGCTCCTGTGAGGGAGGTGCGTGAGGATGAACAGCTGGGGAAAGAAGGCTCTGTGCAGCTGGTGACAGCAGTCCTCGGCAGCCATGATGGTGCTGGCACCAGCGGTCAGAGGCAATGAGCTGCTTGCAATGGAATTTTAAGTTTCTGGTGCCTCCGGGCTCCTCCCTGACACTTCCATGCTGCCCTGCTCACCTGTGTCGCGATGGTGTTTTTGGGTTGGGAGCAGGGTCAGGGTGGAAGCTGCGGTTCAGTTTTGATGGCTCAGTTAAGGGTTGGGGATTAATTATGGGTTGGGAATTAATCACGCGGCTGGCACAGACACCCAGGCTGGCTGTACAGCGCCAGACTGCTGGTGCTGAGCAGTCCCAGGGCCATGTGGACCCCTCAGTGCTGGGGCAATATGGAACCCCCTCCCCTGCCTGGTGCA